TTTTTTTTTTCAACAACTTTGGGTCCCCCCACTTTTTTTTTTCCTTCAACAAATTTTTTTCCTGGTGGTTTTTTTTGGGGGAGGGGTCGGGGGGGTGTTCGGTATTTTTGTTTCAACCATCTGGCAACCCTACTGCTAGGTTATTTTATAAAAAAATAAAAAGGGAATTCTAGATCATCGTATGAGTTGGTCTCCTGGTATTGCAAAGAGCAAAAAACCAAATTTATGAAGGGCTTGTCTACACACGCACAAGTTGCCTTGGTAAATCATCACTTAAAACCATCCCTTAGTTAAATTGATGTGTTTCTTTTTTTAGGTCAAGGCTGACTCTGTTCTCTGCTTCCATAGTTTAACAGAACTAATTTTTATGCTAGATAACAATTTTTGGATAACCATAGAGTAGAAACCCCAAACAAAATGAAGGTTAACAGAACCTGTTCAACAGACAACCTAGCAGGGCCTAGTTTGTGGTGACCTATGTCTAATCACCATTAACTGCTCTCTCAGGCTTTGTCTAGTCCAGGATTTAAAGGTGTATGGTTAGGTTTAAAACAGTTTAACCAACATGTTTGAAAATGCTAGCACAGAATTTTACAATACCTTCGGCACTGTATTAGCTGAAATGGAGTGACACCTCACTACTAAATCCTAGTCTAGACAAAACTTCAGATTTCTCATGGGGGCCATATTTTCAAGTGCTCAGCACCCACAACGGGAGCCAACTTTTCAAAAGTGAAAAGTTGCATCACAGTGGGTGGAATGACAGTATCACATGGCCAGGCTGGATGTACCATATTCAGCCATTGTAAAATGGTTCACTTTCTAAAAAGCTGCATAATTTCCTTACCAGGTTTGCTGACCAGTTTGGAACCCGAGCTGCATTAACTCTTTCATGTCTCTCTGGATCTGCCTTCTTTCTACTATTGTCCATCTCCACCAGCGTCCCACTTCTGTTCCTGTCCAGAATTCCATCCGTGTTCATGCATGGGCTACCAGGTAATGTTATGATAAGATGACCCAATTATGGGGCTCAATATCTTCCAGTCTGTTTGTAGGGGCCTGAGCCTGCAAGTCTTCCTCACATAAGCAGTTCCATTAAAGTCAGTAGAACTAATAACGTATAGAAGGGTTGCAGAATCCGTCTCTGAATAGTTGGCTTTAGGAACACGAGGCAGCTTGTTTAATGGTTAGAGGAGGTGGTTGGGGAGCAGGACAACTAAATTCTATTCCCAACACTGCACCAACATGCTGTGTGAGCTAGAGCAAGTCACTTATGTGACAGGGCGCCTGGGATGGACAACACTGAGTCAGGGCAGACTGCAAGAAACAGGGCAGACAATTCCCCCAAACTGGTGGTTTACTCTATAATTAGGTTCCCCAAACCAGTAACAAAAGAACTTCTGCAGTGCTACACTGGTTAAAAAGAAGCCAAACCCAGTTCCCTTTAGGCATTCCCTCCCTTGGCTCCCATTCAGACAACCAAGTCTAAGGGTACGTCTAGACTACATGCCTCTGTCATCAGAGGCATGTAGATTAGGCTACCAGACATAGGAAAATGAAGCGGCGATTTAAATAATCGCCGCTTCATTTAAATTTACATGGCTGCCGCACTGAGCCTACAAACAGCTGATCAGCTGTTTGTCGGCTCAGCGCGGTAGTCTGGACGCGCGGGTGTCGACATCAAAGGCATTTGTCGACCACCCAGGGATGCCTCCTGGAATGAGGTATACCTGGGTGGTCGACAAATGCCTTTGATGTCGACACCCGCGCGTCCAGACTACCGCGCTGAGCCGACAAACAGCTGATCAGCTGTTTGTAGGCTCAGTGCGGCAGCCATGTAAATTTAAATGAAGCGGCGATTATTTAAATCACCAGTTCATTTTCCTATGTCTGGTAGCCTAATCTACATGCCTCTGGCGACAGAGGCATGTAGTCTAGACGTACCCTAAGATAGCAAGAGGCTACTGAAAGCCCATTTCATCATATGCAAGGTTCTTTCTAATCCTGAAGGATCAGACACATGTCCCCAGGTCAGCATGAACCTCAGGTCTTCTCCAAACAGGGGGACTGACAGAATTGCTGGGCCCCTGGGCAAAGCCAGGAGGAGCAGTTCTGTGGCTTTGCGGCTCTCAGGAGTGGGCCGTCAGGTGGAAAGGGCCTGGCTGGAGGCTAGCTTCCCCTAGCCAGCCCTTCAGTGCCACCCGGAGCGCACTGCATAGCGGGATCTAGTGGTAATTTAAAGAGACTGAGGCTCTGGATGCTGCAGCAATAGAGAATTAGTACAAGAAAGGGGAAAACCGGAGGTCTCTCAGGGTATGTCTACACTACCCTCCTATTTCGAAATAGGAGGATAATGTAGGCATACCGCAATTGCAAATGAAGCCCGGGATTTGAATTTCCCGGGCTTCATTTGCATAAGCGGGGCGCCGCCATTTTTAAATCCCCGCTTGTTCGAACCCCGTGCCGCGCGGCTACACGAGGCACGAACTAGGCTTCCTAGTTCGAACTAGGAATGAGGAGTAATGGTAGTTCGAACTAGGAAACCTAGTTCGAACTACCTCGTTCGTGCCGCGTGTAGCCGCACGGCACGGGGTTCGAACCAGCGGGGATTTAAAAATGGCGGCACCCCGCTTATGCAAATGAAGCCCGGGAAATTCAAATCCCGGGCTTCATTTGCAAGTGCGGTATGTCTACATTACCCCGCTAGTTCGAACTAGCGGGGTAGTGTAGACATACCCTCAGAGGTCCTTAATATCCTTTGCCAGGTGAATAGAAAGTCACTGGCTCAAGATGGAGTCCAGGGTGACATATCCTTATCGTATGTCCTTACCTGCTTTGCTCACTCACGGGGGCAGCCATTGCTCATATTCTTTCTGAGGGGTCCACTGGAAAGGTTTACCAGGCAGGATGAATTTCTTCCAAGGCCCATTGTGAGCTGACTCTCCTTGAAGGGCCATCAACACACTGATGCATAGTCCTGATGTAAATCTATTCAGAGGGGGTCACCCAGGAACAACCCACTTGCTGGAGAGACAAGTGCATAGCCAGTATTCATAACTTCAGATACAAAGGTGATCCACGCATGTAAACAGGAAAATCATGTTTAGCAAATCATGTGTTTTCCCTGGAGCCGCTTACATGACAGATGTTGTACAAGATTTGTTGCAATTAACAGTGGTAGCAACAGTGACGCAAATGGACATCTTTCTTGTGCAACTTGGTTTCCCATGTAGTCTAGACGTACCCTAAGATAGCAAGAGGCTACTGAAAGCCCATTTCATCATATGCAAGGTTCTTTCTAATCCTGAAGGATCAGACACATGTCCCCAGGTCAGCATGAACCTCAGGTCTTCTCCAAACAGGGGGACTGACAGAATTGCTGGGCCCCTGGGCAAAGCCAGGAGGAGCAGTTCTGTGGCTTTGCGGCTCTCAGGAGTGGGCCGTCAGGTGGAAAGGGCCTGGCTGGAGGCTAGCTTCCCCTAGCCAGCCCTTCAGTGCCACCCGGAGCGCACTGCATAGCGGGATCTAGTGGTAATTTAAAGAGACTGAGGCTCTGGATGCTGCAGCAATAGAGAATTAGTACAAGAAAGGGGAAAACCGGAGGTCTCTCAGGGTATGTCTACACTACCCTCCTATTTCGAAATAGGAGGATAATGTAGGCATACCGCAATTGCAAATGAAGCCCGGGATTTGAATTTCCCGGGCTTCATTTGCATAAGCGGGGCGCCGCCATTTTTAAATCCCCGCTTGTTCGAACCCCGTGCCGCGCGGCTACACGAGGCACGAACTAGGCTTCCTAGTTCGAACTAGGAATGAGGAGTAATGGTAGTTCGAACTAGGAAACCTAGTTCGAACTACCTCGTTCGTGCCGCGTGTAGCCGCACGGCACGGGGTTCGAACCAGCGGGGATTTAAAAATGGCGGCACCCCGCTTATGCAAATGAAGCCCGGGAAATTCAAATCCCGGGCTTCATTTGCAAGTGCGGTATGTCTACATTACCCCGCTAGTTCGAACTAGCGGGGTAGTGTAGACATACCCTCAGAGGTCCTTAATATCCTTTGCCATGTGAATAGAAAGTCACTGGCTCAAGATGGAGTCCAGGGTGACATATCCTTATCGTATGTCCTTACCTGCTTTGCTCACTCACGGGGGCAGCCATTGCTCATATTCTTTCTGAGGGGTCCACTGGAAAGGTTTACCAGGCAGGATGAATTTCTTCCAAGGCCCATTGTGAGCTGACTCTCCTTGAAGGGCCATCAACACACTGATGCATAGTCCTGATGTAAATCTATTCAGAGGGGGTCACCCAGGAACAACCCACTTGCTGGAGAGACAAGTGCATAGCCAGTATTCATAACTTCAGATACAAAGGTGATCCACGCATGTAAACAGGAAAATCATGTTTAGCAAATCATGTGTTTTCCCTGGAGCCGCTTACATGACAGATGTTGTACAAGATTTGTTGCAATTAACAGTGGTAGCAACAGTGACGCAAATGGACATCTTTCTTGTGCAACTTGGTTTCCCTGTGTCTCAGTTTCCCCATTTCTAAAATAGAAGATGACTGTGCTGACCTCCCAGCCACACCCTACCACACCATGGTGCTGTAAAGTTTAATTTGTTAATGTCTGTGAAGTGCTCTGAGGTCCTCATATGAAAGATGTTATAGATGTGTTAAGCATAGTTATTATTTTTCCTTGGGCTTGAAAGGTTTCACTGATACCCATTCACCTGGGCATTCGGCTACTTTACTGGTACCCCTAAAGCCATAGATCTTCATTCCCCCCTCCCTCAATAAACTAATTCACCCCACATCAATGCACCTTTCCAAGGCACCTCTCCTTGTCCAGCCTCCATTTCCACTGCTTTGCTGCTTAGTGCCCTCAGCTTCCCAGCATTTTCATCCACCTGGTCCTATTCTTTAAGACCATCCCCTCCATGCTTTTTAAAGAGCAGCAGTCCACAGGCTATTTTGCTCCTGCCTACCCCCAATTCTGTTATTAAAAGCATAACTTCTCCAGCGCACACCTCATCTCAGAGAAAGAACTAATGATTCCTGAGCTTCTCTGTTCCCTCCTAGCCTGTCCTCCCCCTTTACTCCAGAGGGGGATAGGATCAAAAGCTCCCTGGCTCTACTCCTTGCATCTTGTAGTGGGAGATTGGGTTTTTCCATGGCCTAATTTTAGTATAGTGTCAAAAGCGGCGTCTCTTTAGCAGATCAGAATTCATTCCAATGGAATGAACAGTATCAATAAAATAAACTGCACCTATCCTTCACTGCACTGCAGCTATTTCACATTTTTCAGTTGCATTCACTCAAGCAAGAACTTTCCCAGAATAATTTTTAGCAACATGCCGTCACACACGGTCTAACAAATTGCACGACTGCATGGCAGGCTGCATTATGCGGGCGTTCCTTCTCACCACGCCGTTCTGTTTTGCTTCAGCTGATTGTGTTCAGGAAAAAACATCAAAGCAGATGCTCAGCCGTATTGCTCATGGAGTATCGCTGGTGGGAGGACAAAGACCCTCACCATGATAATGTGGATTATACACAGCTGGTTTAAGCCAGTAAAGCGCTTAATGCCCATTAGCAGTTAGTCCACCTAAGACGGGGTGGCAATAATTTTTGATGGGGGCAGGGGGCACTCCAAGATTTTGGAAAGTGGCAAACGCTGCACTCTTCTATGATACTACTGGAGGAGGTGCAGGGTCTGGGATGGAGGTTGGGTGCAGACAGAAGGGAGCTTCAGGTAAGGGATTGGGATTCAGGAAGAGGTATGGAGTCTGGGAGGGAGTTTGGGGTGCAGGGGTTTGGGTTGTGTCTGAGGGCAGGAGGGGGTTGAGGCCTGGGCAGGGGGCTGGGGACAGAGGTTTGGGTTGTGACCTAGGGCAGTAGGGGGTTGTGACCTATGGCAGGGGATTGAGGTGCAGGATCTGGGAGGAATATGGATTAAGGAGGGGGTACAGAGTTTGGGTTATGTGGAGAAGTGGGGCAGGAGTGCGGGGGCAGACAGAGGGTTGGCAGGAGGAGGCTGGGGGGCATAGGCGAGCTCTGGTCGGGAGACCTACTTACCTTTGAGTGAATCCCAACCAGCAGTCCAGCACATTTCTCAGGCAGCTTCTCTGCCTGCCCCGCCCCAGCACAGGCTGCGGGGGCCATGTGTGCTAGTGATTAAGAACCTGAGGAAAGAAGAGGAAGGGTGCTTCACACACTGCCTGTTCTTCAAATAGGCAGCTCCCATTGGCCAGAAATCCACCAATGGGATTGTGCTGGAGGCAGGAGCAGCGTATGAAACACCATTCCCCTCTCCCCCGGGCTCACAGCTGAGAAAGACAAATGGCCCCAGCAGCTGCTTTTCGGAGGGGGGAGGCGCAAGCAGGGAGTCTGTCTGAGGCTCCCACTGCATCCATGGGCCGAATCCGG